AGGATTACTGGTATTTGGTGGGGATATGTCATTTTGGTTTTTCATGTTATTTTTCTCTGTGATTTTGACATGTGAATTTCTTTTGAAGTTTCTGATTCTTGTGTAACACTCAGGCGTTCAAGTTTAGGCCTACTTCTTTTTGTGAACTTTATCTGTCTTTGTGGTTTACTTTTTGGGCATGAAAAGCTGGTTCATCTAAGTTTCCCGTTCTCTCTTTTGATTTTATATTGGCGTGGCCAGATTGCTTTTTTCTTCAGGAGTTCCCACAGAGGCCCATTTCAGATGAGGGTCAGATGTTTTCAGGCTTTGTCCTAAGGTCTGGATCCCTCCAGGAACAATTTTGGCCTCAGGAATTTGGGGGTGGGACTGGACTGGGAGCCTGGCCCAGGAAAGATGTTGGCATTTGGCCATGCCACCCAGAGATGCAAAGCCAGATGGGTTGGGAAGGGGCCCCAAGGACTCCTGGGGACTGCACTGAGGAACTGTGTTGGTCTGAATGCAAAGGATCAGGAAGAGGAAAGGTCAGCCCCAGTGTCTTAGAAAGAAGCTGGAATGTGGTGCAGGCCCAGGGATGCAGAGGGAGGTGAGGGCAGGGCCAGGCCCAGAAACAGTGCTCCTGGGGTCCAGAGAAGACACTATGTTGGTCTGGATGAAAAGGATCAGGAAACAGTATTGGTTCCCCAGGTGTCTGGGGCCCCAAGACAAGGAATGGGATAGGACACAAACTAGGAAGCCTGCAAGAGAGATGAGAGGGTGAATGATGCTGGGAGAGTCAAGGTGCGGAGGGTGCAATGGACCTGTGATGGAGAGATGCCTGTGGGTAGGGGAGAGGCCTGCGGTGGGTCCTTCAGGCCCAGGGAAGCAGAGTGCTTCTTTTTCTTTTGTAGATTTGCTTATGAGCAGATAACATTCCAAGAATATTCTTTGGTGTCCATGCAAACTTTTTAATGTTAAGTTCCTTGTTTTCAAACATTCTTTTAATTACTTATATTTTATGTATATGAGCATTTTGTCTGCATGTATGTAAATGCACTCACATGTACAATGGCTGTGGTGGCCAGAATTGAGCATCAAATTCCCTGAAATTAGAGTTATGGACAGTTGCTAGCTGCCATGTGGGTGCTGATAACTGAACCTGGGTCCTCTGGATTCAGTGCTCTTAACCACTGAGACATCTCTCTAGCCCCAACCATGTTTTCAATAAAAAAAAATTAATTGAAATTTTGTGCATTTCATACAATACATATTGATACTATTTAAACTCCTCCCCCAATCTGAACTTTCCTTAGCCCCCTAACTGGATTTCATGCATTGTGGCGTGTATGTTAAGGCCTATCAAATCAAGTTTGTGTCCCAAGATGTCCCTCAGTGTGAGCTCATCTACTGGAGCCTCATCAACCTGTCTAGCATTACTCCCTTGAAGAAGACCAACTTTCCCTAACCCAGCAGTGATCAGTTGCCAATAGTTATTCAGCTAAGGTTGGGGACTTTTACCCATTTCTTTATGCTGAGACTTTGCTTGGTTTGAGTTTGCATGGGTCTTGTGCATGCTGTCACCAATGGAACAGTGTTGATGGAAGGCTGGAGTCTGGGAAACTCACTGTATTGGGTGGGTGTGAAGACTGTGAAACTCAAGCAAAACCTGGGAATGTGGGATGGTAGGAAGGAAATTCTAGGATTAGGGAACTCACTGGTCTGAGAAGGTGCATGGACTAAAGGACCCTAGCTTTGCCTCAGAATATGAGCTGTATAGATATAACTTGTAGTCAACAATATAGTGAAAATGCAACCTCATTGTTAGAGGTAGGGAAGTAAAATTTGGTTAAGTCACTGTTTTGGGCCTTTCTCCAAGAGCCAGGTGTTAGGATGGCATTAGAAATAAGGGATTTATGGATAGGAACACCTGTGAAAATCAAAGGGGAATATACAAGCAGGATGGCATAGACAAAGCCTCAATCTGTAGTGCATGGTTAACATTCATAAAGAGTGAAAAGAGGAGTAGGATAGAAAAAGCCACAAACAGCTGTAGGTAAGCACTGAGCAAATTTCCAGCACAGAAATTTCCTATATAAGAGAATTCTGTCAGGCAGAAATGGCCAGACACTAGAAACTGCACTTTTCCCAGCTATTCTTCTGTGCCCAGTTATTGCCTAGACGTGTGGGCTCAGTGCCAGTGCTGTAGTAGATCCTGAAGGCACTGCAGATGGGAGCTGTCAGGTAACTGCGCCTCACACAGTTGAGTGGCAAGTTATTTTCTGGACATGTCGGTGCACAGCCATGGCTACCACAGTTACCTAATGCCCGAAAGCTGAGGTGTGAACTTGGGCTTAATAACTAAGGTGCTGCCTTGCCAAGTGGGTGGGGCATCATTGGCATCAGCAGCCACTTCTATCTTATTCTTTTTGTTTTCTTCTGTGTAGTATCCTTTATTATATTTCTCTCCCCAGTAAATTATTAAATCTGTATTGATTTTATAATTAACTTTAAACAGATAATGCTATGAATCTTTAAATTTCATAAGCCTTCTAAAGGAGGATAAGTGGATGAAAACAGAGAAAGGATTTTACTTAAAATACAATTTATACTCTTATCCCCAACCAAATTAAGCCCTATATGTTCATTAAGAGCTTAATAATCTTAAGATATGCAATGAATTCTACAGTGTCAAACATAACTGGTGGGCAGGCTACTTCCAGGTATTGGAAGTAGCTTAGTTAAACCAATACAAGAGGGAGTAGGCAGGATGCTGTGGGGATGTAGGGGGAGATGAGCCTGATTACAGTAGAATTTTATGGGGTACTGAAAGGATTAAAATCACTGTGTTAAGCCAGGTTCTTCATCACTTTGACAAAGGACCTAAGTCAGTTAATGTATCAGTAGAAAAGGTTATATTAGTTCACAGTTTGAGAAGGTGCCACTCATGATATTGGTCCTGTTACTTTTAGGCATACGGTGCAACAAAGATACCTCTGAGAGGAGTAGAGGGCCAGTAAAGACATGGGAAAAGGAGTAGGTCTTCACTGAATCAGTCTCTCGTTTTTGGTTTTTTTTCAAATCCCTTTGGCGATTCAACAGCTCTAAAATGGAAATATCCCAGTATTTTCAAGAGTCATGAGAGGAGGGTCAGGAGCATGAAGAATCCCATCAACCTGCTTCTTTCTTATAATGTCAAAGACTCCCTGAATTATAGATGAGAAGCTCAACATCCCTATTTTTTCTGCAACTCAAGTCTGGACTATAGTTGAGGCAAAGTCGACGGGCAAGATCCACATGACTTGTGGAGTTCAGCATCTTTGCTGAGGCCCATGACAGAATTCCAAAAAATTTGCCTTTTCTATAATTTATTATATAAAATCAAAGGCCAATTCAGAAGTTTAAGGACTTAGTTGTTTTGACTGAGGGATGCTTGCTTTTCTGTCTTGCATATCTGGCTTTTGTACTAATGTAGTGTATTCCTACTGAGCAATTTCAGGCAAGTGTAACTTAATTGGAATGAAAGAGCTGGAGAATATATTGACTTCTGCTTCAGTAAAGGTTGGTGGGATGCTGTGATCAAGAGAAATGCCTTTGCTCAGAGCTGGCTTCTCAAAACAGGATGAATAAAGTTAAATGCATTTTTAAAAATACCACTAATAGATAAAATTTACAAAGTTCCCAATCCTTTCTCACCTAAGACTACTGTAGCTTGCTGGATCTTTCAAATTACCTTACATGTATACCTATGCATTTCAGGCAGAAGAAGATAAGAAAAATATGAGCAGGATGCAGGCTCTGACTGATAAACTTCAGCTGAAAGTGAGAAGTTACAAACAGCAAGTGGAGGTCACAGTAAGAGCCAGAGGCAGTGCAGCATCATTGGTTATCTATCTGTTGCTTTTGGTTAATGCCCTGGGCTAGGAGTGCAGCTCAGCAGAGCAGACGAGCTGCGTGTCATGTTGGCCCTTTCTCTGCTTTTCCCTAAGAATATGACTCGTAGAGGTGGAAAAAAGAAAAGTTGTGTTGCTTCTCTCTATAGGAAGGCCAGCCCCTCTCCCCTGGCTTTTGGCTGTATTCAAACTTGTGCACTCTAAGAAACAAGCGAAATAAGAGCAGGGTATCACAAAGGGCTGGAAAGGTTTTGCAGGGTTTCATTGTGAGGCCTCTTTTAGTTCTAAAGTTTGGGTCAACATAAACACAGCTTGCAGTTTATTTTTCTGATGAATCTGGACATGGTATGACAGAATGACAGAACCACCGTCACTGCTTCTCTGCTCTTTTGCTCACTTTGTACTGCTCTCAGGTTACCTCTTCTATAAAGTACCAACTATCACAAAGTCATTAAAGTCATGTGTGGATCAGCAACATGTTTATACCTAATAATATTTTGAAGGGTTTTGAAATGATTGATTTGGACACTGCATGTTCAAGAATTACTTATTGACTCATAATTTGAAAGAACAACATCCTATGTCCAGGCATAGAATAGGATGCTAATCTGAATATAAAGCAAACAACTGTAATTGCTTTAGCACACAGTTCTGTGAAAGTTATAATCCTGGCAGTGGGTGGAAAGAAATACCTCATTCTGAATGTCCAGAGAACAACAGTTATAAAGATTGATTTTTGTTTCTACACTTAAAACCTATCTCTATGTCTTACATCAAAATAGTATATTCTGGGCTGGAGAGATGGCTCAGTGATTAAGAGCACGTACTGCTCTTCCAAAGAACCTGAGTTCAATTCCCAGCAACCACACCTGGATCCTCACAACTGTCTGTAACTCCAGCTCTAGGAGGATCCAACACCTCTGGCTTCCACAGACATCTGCACTCACATGCACATTACCCCCCGCCAACATGTACATTTAATTAAAAAAGTAAATCTAAAAATAGTATATTCTATTCAAAATTGAGTTTATATTCTCTCAGTTTTCAACTTTCTTATGTCAGAGTGGAAAATACTATGTAAGGATGACAATATCTCCACTTTTCGTATTTTTTTATTTTCATAGGAGGCACAGCTAATCAGTATCTTTCCAAGTATAAGCAGCAGCAGCATGAGCTGAATGAAGTCAAGGAAAGGGCCGAGGTAGCAGAATCTCAAGTCAATAAACTCAAAGCTAAAGCAAGAGAGCTTGAAAAAAAAGGTACAGACCACTCTGTTACAAGGCATACAAGTCAATGGCATTGCATGGATCAGTATATCAAGAAATGTTTTCTCTTTAAATTTTAAGAAATTTACTATTTTTTACTTTTTGTATATGAGCGTATTGCCTATAGGCAGGTAGGTGCACTTGCGTCATGCAGTGCTTGCCAAGGTCAAAGAGGGGGTTGGATTTCTCTTGAACTGGAGTTATGGATGGTTGCTAGCCACCATGTGGGTGATGGAAATTGAACCTGGGTCCTCTGCAAGAGTAGTCAATGCTCTTAAACTCTGAGCCATCTCTCAAGCCCCTCTTTAAACTTTTTAAAAAACAACCAAAACCAAGTTCCAATAAAAAATATCCTTCCCTGCTTACTAAGTTCCCCTGTCCAGGTAGTATGTGGCACTAAGTATTGGAGTTGGAAGCACATTCTATTTTTGCTTTTCAAATGCTGCACATCCCAGGTTAACTTGCAGACTCTGAACTTTGGACCTTCAAGACATCTGTGTAGTGTATTCAGGAATTCATGGAGCAAAGATGATTTTAAAAGTACAAATTGATCTAGAAAATCTGAGCGAATTCTTTTCATAATAGACAAACTTATGACTTTGTTCCATATCAAAGCTGAAACCTAGGGGGAAGGTTTTCAAAACTGAGTTCATAAAGGAGACCTGATTTCTAGGTCTCAGCATTCAAATCTTAAGTCTGCTCCAAAGCACAGAAAAGTCCATGTCTCTGTGATTCCCTGAATGAATATTCTCACACAATGGTAGAGGCCAGCATTTCACTGTTATGGGAAAGTGGAGGAGTGACAATGAACTCTGAACAGAATACTGGGCAGAGGCAGGGGCAGGGGCAGGGAAGGGACAGGGACAGGAGCACCTCATCTTCCTTAATGAGATTACCCTGAAAGACAGTGTTTGAATGAGATCTGGGTTCAGGAAAAGTGAGTTCAAAGAGATTGTGTACCATGATATTAGCTACCTTTCATAAATATAAAATAGCACAGTTCCCAGCACAACCAATGCTCTTTTATTTTCAAAATGTGGTACATGCCTCATCTTCTTATGATAAATGAATTACTAGTCTCCCTGCAAGGCAAGTTGTTAGGATTGCCAATAGTCAGATTACCCTAAGGGAGGTCCAATGGATTTCATGAAGGAGACCCTACAAGGTGGTTACATGGAACATGCTTAGGTCTAATAATGAGAAGCCTGAGCCATTGACAACTCAGGGATTCCTTGCTGCTGACTCAATAGCTGTTGCAAGCATAAGCATTTGCAAATTCAGCTAAGTGGTCTAATTGCTTGCCTCAAATAAAGAAGCATCATGCCACTGGATTCAGTGCCCTCTTCTGTGCTGACTCTGCCCGGCAATGCCATGTAATGGATTTGTGTATGGAGGGACCACTCATGTTCCCATTGCACTCAGCTATAGGCGGTCACAGGACCTCCAAAACACATGCCATGTACTGACTTTGTAATTTCCAAGAATGAGTAAAACAAGTGGGGCAGAAGTTTCTCTGGGAGGCCAAAGATGAACGGGAAAACTTTCCTGGCAGTGCAGAGACTCATTGCTTCTCATTGGCAGAAGAAAAGCCTAAGCATCCCTCACCAGTCATAAACACAAGGAAAAGGTTTAATGATGCAATTGTGAGTCAGGGCTATGAAGCAAATGGATGATGCGGCTGTGGAATCTTTTCCTCATTGGGAGAGGAGAGGCAGAAATGGCAGGTGAAAGCCTCCCTTTGACGTTCATGAACACCTGCCGAGGCCTGCTAACTGCTGGAAAGGACTGCATGGGTCTGCTGTGTGGGCCACTGGAAATTCACATTGACATTCTATTTTTCAGGTTCATAATGAATAAGCAGTTTCTTCTTATAAAAACAACTGGAAACAAGCCTTGAAAAATATATATGGCAATCTATATATGGCATGAAGAACAGTTTAAGAAGATGGGAAACATGTAGTGATTCAAGGGAATATCACTATGTCTAACAATTTTTTTGATTTCTCAATGGCATAAAAAATTTCTTCTAAAATTTCACACAAAAGACTAAATAGATGTGAGAATCGTTTCAAGTCCAATGTTAAAAGGTGTTCTTATTTTTCCCTCCATATTTGGAATGCTTAGGACTCACAGAAGATGCCCTTAGACTTTGCTCCATGGATGCCCAGGCATGTGGAGGAATGATGTCTGACTCATCCCTATAGCTGTGGCTCCATAGTTTTAGCCCCAAATGGTGAGAATTGATAAAAAGTTCTCTCTTAGGACTATGATGCCACAATTAAGTGATTCAAACTTATAGGTAAAACTTTCCTGATGAAAACATATGTAGGCTATATGCCTGTGTGGACTACAATCATGGAGGCAGTGTTTCACACAAGACTCAGTGACAGGGATTGTGCAGGCTTTGGGTTACACGTTTGCAACCAAGTAGGAGGAGTATGTCCCATTATTTCTTTGAATGTTTCTGAAGTTGGCTACAAGCAAAAATCTGTACCAGATTTAATAGCTTAAAAATGAGTTTTTATTTTATGTGCATAAGGACTGCATATGACTCCAAGCACTGAGAGAGCTAAAAAATATTACCCCAGGCCAAAAAGGCAAGGTAGCAGCGATGAGCAACAGCTTCAGGATGCCAAATCCCGGTATGGGTAGGTAGCCCCTCTACCTCCTGCCAGGCTCTCAATCGTGCAGGCGCATGTGCAGTTAGTTCCAAGGCAACAGGCACTGGTTTTCCCTGTGGAGCGCTCACAGCCTTGCCACAGAGGCTGTCAGTGAGGGACAGGCTTTCCAGTTTGTCCCTTACAGAGCTGCTTCATCCTCATCACTTACAGAGCTCTCCTTCCTGATCACTGTGCAACTGACCTACAGTCACTTCAGGCCCAACACCCACAGCTGTGTAAGGCTGACTCCTGACAATAAATCCTATTCTCGGTCATTCTCGGTGGTTCTGTCTCCCTTTCTAAACCCAGCTCACACAGTTTGCTCCAATTCAGGGTCTTTGGTATTACCAAAGAACCAAGGGCTCTTCTTGTGGGTTTTGGTGTATAGATTTGTCACTCACTGTTGTGAGAGGACCACAGCAGATCTCAGAATTCTCTCTTCATATCCAATGTCTTTTTTTTTTTTTAAACAGAAAAATTCATTTTAATACAATTGACATTAAGATGTTGGCACATGTGTTTCTAATCTCTATATATCTAATTATTACTAGTCACAGTCGGTTACTTTCCGAGCTCCTTGGCATCTGAGCATGGATATAAAGTCGTCAGGTAGATTTCAATGGTAATGTTTTTCACATCTACTAATTATGAAGGAGCAAATTTTTATGCTTTGAAGAATTATTATTTTTTCTTTTTAAAAAAT